GGCCTGGAGCCTGGGGAGGGCGTGTGTGTGTGCAGGCAGGGTCCTGGCTTCATCTGCATCCGGCTTTAAGTGCCCTGGGGAGTCATGGCAGGTTTAACAGAATTGGAGGGAGGAACAGCATAATCAGATTTGTGTTTTTTAAAATACCACTCAGGCTTCTGGGAGGAGAACATTGCAGGAGGCAGGAGTGGAGGCTGGGAGACCTGGGAGAGGTGAGGGGTTCTGGCCAGGAGGAAAGCAAAGAAGGGGGGACAGTCTTGAGGTGAGAGGGGGAGTCAGGGATGGTGCTGGGTGCCTGGAGGACACAGGGCCCTCTGCCATCTCTGCTGACCAGGGCAGTACCTCTGTCCATCTCTTTCACAGCTTTGTGGCCAGTGTTAATGGCAGGTGCTCTGCAAACACCTGTTGAGTGGACGATGGATGGGGACTGCAGTAAGAACAGGGCCGCTGAGGAAGGCTGAGGAGTCCATTTCAGACATGATGTGAGGGGGCCCAAGAAAGCATTCTGAGGTCCAGCTTCAAGCCTGGACTTTGCTGTCCTTTGGGTTCCCCCCACTAGAAGGACAAGGGCAGGGGTGTGACAGGTGGCCCATGGAAGTGGGGCGACTCCCTGGGCGTTTGGACTGTGCGGTCACACTGGGGCCTGCTCTCAGACAGGCCCCTCACGTGGTTCAAGGCTCTGCTGTCGCCACGTTGAAATTCTTAAGTCTTGAACGAGAGGCCTCAGGTTTCACTGCACTGGGTCCCACAGACTGCGTAGCTGGTCTTACCCTGAAGACCAGGGGGCAGACACAGGGCGAGGACACGAGGGAGACCAATGTGAGGATGGACACAGCGCACCCTGGGGTCTGGAGAGAAGGTGACTGGGGGCAGGCGGGATCAGGGTCTGTGAACTCAGGGTGCAAACAGGCGTGTTTGCACTTATTCACAAGATCCCGCACTCCGCATAGACCGGGCGGTTGAGCACTTGTGTGCAGGCATGGTGCTGGGCACCTTGCGGACACCTTTTGGTGGGCAGCACATCAGAGCCAGGATTGTCCCCGCCGTGCAAAGAGGGAGAAGGCTCAGTCCTGGCTCTCCCCTCGAGCCCCGAGCAGAGAGCTGAGGGACCGCCTGGGAGCCCCAGGTCACTGCGAGCAAACGGGAGATACTGGAGGAGGCGGCAAGTGGGGCGAGTCCGTCCCGTTCAGAGTGTGTATCATGTGAAAGCTGCATGAGTCAAAAAGGCTCGGGTCAGATGGGGCTGGCAAATCCGTTAGCGTTCGAGGCGCACCTCACACTGCTGACACCTCCCTCGAATGGTGTCTGGAAGTTTCCACGTCCTGTGTACCAGGTCGGATACACAGATGGTCCCCAACTTATGACGGTTTGACTTACGATTTTCCGACTTTACGATGGTGCGAAAGCCGCACGCATAAGTGGAAACCCCACTTGGAATTCTGAATGGAGCTTGTCCCCGGCCGCGCGATGCGGTCCGACCCCCTCGTGATGCTGGGCAGCAGCGGCTGCAGCACCAGGTCGGCCTGGCGATCCCGAGGGTGAACGGCCGACACACGCCCCCACACTCTGCACCCACACAGCCTTCTGCTCGTCACTTTCAGCACAGCATTCAGTAGTTACAAGAGACGGTCACCACTGTGGCACAAACAGGCTTCGTGCAGGTGATTTTGCCCAGCTGTGGGCTCATGTGAGTGTTCTGAGCACGTTTAAGGGAGGCGAGGCTGAGCGAGGATGTTTGGGAGGTGAGGCGGATTAAATGCATTTTCGATTTAGGATGTTTTCCACTTAGTATGGGTTTACCGGGACGTGACCCCATCAAAGTCGAGGAATAGCTGTATTGACGCATTTAATCGCCACAAAAACCCTGCTTAAAGGTGGGTAGGATTGGTCACAGTTAACTGATGAGAAGATGGAGGCACAGAGATTTGTAACCTAATTGGAGTTAGTGGCCAGACTGAGACGAGATTCAGGGCTGGGCTGTGTCCCCCAGAGGCTGTGCCCTCAGCCACTCGCCCTCCCACCTCCTCTTCTGGGAGAGGGACCGCGGGGGCCAGAGCCAGCCTGTGCTGGCCTGTGATGGTTTGAAAACAGACGCCCTTGGCCCTGGTTCTGAGTAATACCCTACATGAGACACGGCCGTCTGCCAGCTCATGAGGATCGTCACCTGTCTGTGACTGAGCCAGGGCTCGCGCGTTTGGGGGCTGGGGGAGGAAAGGGACGGAAGCTGGGGGTCAGAGGCCGAGAGAGAGAGGCCATTCAGGTGCCAAGCCCCCTCCCAGAACGAGCCAGCTCTCAGGAAGTGAGAGGGGGCCAAGGAGGAGCAAAGTTCCTCTTGCAAGTCTGCTTTCTGCCTTAAAAAAAAAACTTTTGCAAGCAAGTGTAACCAGTGCGAGAGGATGGGGGGTGGGGGGGTGCCTCCTGAAACAGGCGGCTGAGGACAGGAGGGGCCAAGGCCCCGGCTTCTCAGAAATTCAGGACAGGGCCCCTGACCCCTTCTCCGGTCCGTGGCGCCCCCCATGCGGGGAGCCGAATCAGCAGGCTCAGACCGTTACCCACCCCGTGGCCGGGTGGGTCTGGAAGGGCCCCGCGGTCTCAGGGACTCCTGGGCACTTGAGAAACGCGAGGTCGTGGGGGCTGCTGCCCCAGTTCTCCCGGAATCTGACCAGCTCGGGGCCCCGGGGCAGGAGGTGGCCTGCTAGGCAGGTGTTGCCCTATTTTGTGACCTTTTCAATGCAATAAACAGAAAACAGAAACGCAATAAATAGAAAAATTAGCAACAGCACGTTCCGAAGCATTCCTCTTATAGTGGCCCCAATTTTGCTGACGGCTGACCTTAAACCATGCATTGCAGTAGAGGAATGCCTTTTTTTATTGTGATGAGATACACGTAAAATTTACCGTTTTAACCATTTTTAAGTTCAGTGGCATTAAGTACATTCACACTGCTGTGCATCTGTCCCCAGAACCTTCTCATCTTCCCCAACTGAGGTTTCATCCGCATTAAACACTCGCTCCCCCCCCAGCCCCTGGCCCCCACCATCCCACTTTCTGTCTCCATGAACTTGACTTCTCCAGGGACCCTCTAAGTGGAATCATCCAGTATTTCTCCTTGTGGATCTGGCTTATTTCACTTATCGTAGTGTCCTCGTGGTTCAGCCACGGTGTCTCGAGTGCCAGAATTTCCTTCCTTTTTAAGGCAATCATGCTCCATGCGGATGTACCACATTTTGTTTCTCCAGTCACTTGTCCACGGACTCTCGGGCTGCTTCCGCCTTTTGGCCATCGTGAATACCGCTGCTATGAACAGGAACGCATTTTGTAAAGCAGTATATCCTGGCCCCCCCCACCGCGGGCGTGCGCAGGTGTGCAGAATTCTGGGTGCCGAGTGTCCTGAGCTTCGGTATCAGGTGCCCAGGTGGAATCAGTGCTGGATAAAGTCAGGCCACCTGGGGCCCAGGCTCCGCTCCTTGGCCGAGTCACCTTGGGAAAAGCCCCCACCCCAGCTTCACTTGCTTTCTCCGTCCAGGCGGGTGGACATGATTGTCGATGAGCCTCTAAGGGCTGCCCAGGCGCTGCTGTGTCCCTCGCCACACGGGAGAGTGTGTCCTCAGAGTAACCTGGGACGGACTGTGTCCTCTTCTGTCTGAGAGTTATTATTACAGCATCAATAGTGATGGCACCGGTGATGGCAGCTAGTGGTTACTGGCATCTGCTTTGTGCCCTTCCTGGCTCTCACGTTCCTGCCTGCATCCTCCCGTAACCCCTCGAGAGAGGTATATGATGAGCCTGGGGTCCAGGGAGGGCTGGGACCTTGCCCAGGGTCTCATGCCAGTGAGGGGGTGGCTGAGACTCGCAGCACTGCCGGTGGGTCCCCGAGTCCGAGCTCTGGACAGCCTGGTCACCTGCTCCTGCCCCTGGAAGGCTGAGCCTGCTGGGCCTCCAGCAGGGGAAAGCGAAGTGCGGGCTCGCAGGACAGCCCTGCAGGCATTGCACAGCTGGCCCCGGGGCTGGGCCTGAACGTGGGGTTTTGAGATGGGGCTGGTTAGGCTTCTTGGTTCCACTGCTTCAAAGACAGGGGTCAGCCAGGCAGGAGTAATTCCGCCTGCTTCCTCTTCTAGGCAGGCACGAGCAGAAAGAATGGGGGAGGGTGGGCGGAGGGGAGGAAAGGGCATCTCATGCCTGGAAGCCCCCCTGGTCCTGGCTGTGGCCCCAGGTGGCGGTCTAGGGAGCCAGGCCCCCAGGTGGTGAAGGAGACATGGGGTGGTGAGGGGCCAGACCCGGAGCAGAGGACCCTGGCTCCTACTCCCCTTGCCCCAGGGCGGGGAGGGAGAGGCTGGAGCCCTGCCTTTCGTGGGCAAGGACACTGAAGCTCAGAGAGGGCAGGCATCTGCCCCAGGCCACATGCTGGTCAATGGAGGGGCTGGGAATCATTCTCAGATGTGCTGACCCCACACCCTCTGGGCCCTCAAGCCTCCCGTCAGCCCCTGAAGTGAGAGAAAGCAACTCATTGCCACCCGGTGGTGAGGGGGGCATGTGGGCCAGAGAGGCTGGGCTGACCTGAGTACCCATCCAGACCCACCCTGATGAGCTGTGTGGCCCGGAAGAGTTGCCCCACCTCAGCCCCAAGGTCAGAGGGCTGCGTGTGGCTCTCCTGCCAGCTGCTGGGCCACACGGGGTAGGGGACGCAGCACATGTCAGGGCTCCCCATTACTGTTTACCACCACCAGCCCCCTCCATGTGACACATCTGCTCATGGGCACCCAGCTGGGATGCAGCCCCGTCTACCACGGTTTCAGGGGGGAGACTGAATTGAGATGAGGCGAGAAAACAGGATGTGGTTTCTGACGGGGGCTATGTCTGGGGGAGCCCCAGTTCACCTGACATGATGTTGGGTGTCTGTTTACTGTCTGGTCGCCCTGGAGGTTAAGTCTTATGGACACAAGGGACACAGAAAAGCCTTGTGGGTGGCTGACGGAGTAAACTATCCCTCCGGTCCTCAGGTCCAGCTGGGAGCTCCCCGACCTCCAGGAAGGCAAGATTGAGGCCATCAGCGACTCAGACGGGGTGAACTACCCCTGGTACGGCAACACCACGGAGACGTGCACCGTCATGGGCCCCACCAAGAGAGACTCCAAGTTCATCATCAGTATGAACGACAACTTTTACCCCAGCGTCACGTGGGCCGTGCCCGTCAGCGAAAGCAACGTGGCCAGACTGACCAACATCTACCGGAACCAGAGCTTCACCACGTGGCTGGTGGCCAGCAACACCACGACAAACGACATGATCGTTCTGCACACGCTGCACTGGCACATGCAGCTTAGCATCGAGGTGAACCCGACGCGGCCCCTGGGCCAGCGTGCCAGGCTGCGGGAGCCCGTCACCCAGGACCAGCCCAAAATCCTGAGCAAGAACGAGCCGATCCCGCCCAACGCCCTGGTCAAGCCCAACGCCAACGACGCTCAGGTCCTCATGTGGCGGCCCAAGTACGGGCTGCCGCTGGTGGTGATCCCGCCCAAGCACTGGTGACGGCCAGGGCGCCCCGCTAGGTTAGACTCAAATAATAATTCTGCTCCAACAAAACCCACGCGGACTCTCAGTCATTCAGCGAAACACAACCACTCTACCTGCTCCAGCGGGCAGCCCTCACTGTGCGAATGCCCCCCGGGAGGGCCTCCCCGCCCCTCCGAGGACCCTGCTTCTTGGCGGGGAGGGGGAGACCCAGCCGGGACAGACCAGCCCCATGTGCGCCCTTCAGTGTCACCTTGGGTCTCCCTCCCTCTCCTTTCTCACACTTTCAGCCATTCTCTTGCAACAGACTCCCCGAAACAACTGCTTTTTCAGTTCTTTTTTTTTAAACGCCTCTCTAGGAGGTTCAAGGGAGGGGGGAAGGAGGAGCTGACGCTGAGGCTGGTCCGAGCGCCGTCGTCGCTGGTTTGTGACAGTGTCGGGCCGCCCCGCGGCAGCTCCCTCTCGCCCTCTGTTATGCGGCCTTATGCAGACTTGCTTTGCCAAACTTTTGCCTTAAGCTGAATTTAAAGGAAAAAAACCCACAGCAGACAAAGAAAGCAGGATCTCTTTTCTACTGGACTTTTCATCTCCGCTGGAGGTGAGGGAGGGGGCTGGGTCAGGGGTGAGAGGAAGGTGCCTTGGAGCCCCTTCTCCCCGGTGTCTTGGGAGTGGGGCAGGGGTACAGATTTAGACCTAAAACCAGCTGCTTACTCCTTATTTCAGCAGAAACGGAACCACAGACTCTGCCTCAAGAGCCCCTTCTCTCAGCCCAGGCAGAATCCCCGCCCCTGCAGAGAAGGCAGGGCCGTGAGCTCTGTGGCCGCTTCTCTCCTCTCTCGCAGCCTTCACTTGCCTTGGGTGGGCCCAGGAGAGAGGGAGGGGCCTGTGAGGTGGAGGTTGAGCCCAGGGAACTTTCTGCCTCAGTCCTCAGCACCCATCCGCAGGTGGGTCTGCCCGCACAGCTCAGTGCGCGGCTTTTCCTTGTCCACCCACACTGGTCCCAGACACGCAGCCACCTTGACCCAGTTTTGGTTCAAAGGTAAGAAAGGCATGCACTTCCTTCCTGGCTCCTTCTCAGGGGACATGCTCCCAGGTGCTCTGGGGGCTTCAGATGGGCTCACAGTGCTGGAGGAGGGGGAGCTGTGAAGGGGGCCCCCACGGACAGGCGTTCCTGGATCTGGGGAGCCTGGGGGGGCAGAGGGCAGGCTCTCCCCTGCTGCTTATCCTCAAGTGAGTCAACCAGGGCCCAGGGCTGGGGCATCAGTGGGCCCATGGATGGCAGGCATCGGAGCCACCCTGGAGGCTGGTCTGGCAGCATGGCTGGTCCTCAAGGGCCACCCTCCCTCGGCTCCTGGAGCCCTCGAATTGGTCCCCAGCGTCGCCGAGCTTTCTTAGCAATGTCTGCCCTGAAGGCTGCTCGCCTGAGCTGTGGGGGGCACCCACTGGAGCCCCCTTCCTCCAGGCTTGCCAAACCCACAGCTATATCACCCAGGCCCCGCATTCAAACGAATCATCATCAAGCACAGAAAACTGTCAGAAAAGAAAAATAATCCATTTCTGCTGTAGATGAGCCACTGATAGGAGTCCCCGTGACAACGTGGGAGGGCTGGGGTCACCTAAGCCTCGCTCTAGTCCTTCATCCACATGACACTGTATTTATTCAGGGGTGCTTAACGTCCAGTGCCGCTCCGAGCCCGGCTCCCGACGGGAGGCGCGCAGCTGTCCTGGAATGACTGGACTGGAAGCAGCTTTGCCTTGCCGGCCGCTGGCGTGGTGCTTGGGGAACACCGCTGTCAGGCCCAGGAACCCCCTGGAAGCTGCCGGTTCCCCGTGGTGTGTACAGACACCCTGCCACCCAGAGAGGCCAAGTGAGGGGAGTGGTGTGTCCCTGCCCCAACCTCTGGGGGCGGGCCTGGGAGGGAGCAGGGTGACAGTGTCCAGCTTCCGGGGACAGGACCTGGCCTCCTGAGGAATGGTCCTTCTCTGCACTCAGGTCTTTCTTGCACTAAAAAGGAGAAAGGGCCCTGCACGAGGGGTCAGGAAGCCGGAGTTGTGGTTTGGGGCTGGGTCACTGCTCAGGGGTTCTTACTGGGGTAGGGGGTGGGCACAGGAAAGAACAGGGAGGGGTGAACTGAGCTGTCTTGGGGCAGAGTCCCCAAGACCCACACTTCCTGAGTGAGCGAGCCCGCATGGCAGGGGCACAGTGCCGTGCACTTGGAGGGGAGCGATGCTGCTCTGGCTGCCTTGCCCGGCCCACCGCATGCCTGGGCCCCAGCTCCCCGTGCTCCCTGGCTCCTCCTACCCGCCTACCTCCTTGCCCCTTTCTCTCTGTCCCGCCACCCCGGCCTTTCTGGAGACAGGGCTGGGGAGGCCCTGGAGAGGCTGCAGGCCCAGCCAAGGATGCTCGGCCTAGCTTGGGTCTGGTCCCTCGGCCTCCTCCCTTGTGTCAGGAGCACAGACCCCAGGCATCTCGCCTGGGACCCCGATCCCTCTGGTGTCCCCCTTCCCTGGCGTGGACACACTCCTCCAGCAATAAGGACCTTCGTGGTCGTGGAGAGTACTGTGAAAACAAACCAATGCATTTACCAGGAGGCACAAGACTCTTGAAGAAAATGTAAAATGAACCTTTTTTTAAAACAAATATTCACAAAGAGAAATAAAAAGTAATTTTAAAGTAGGCCTGGCTAGGATCTGGATGTTTCTGAAGTGGCGCTTCATTTTGGGGTCGACAGCTCTGTATTTCTGGCCACAGGAGTGAACGTATTTGAGGGGTGGGTATTCGGCTGGAGCCTGGAGGTTCTGGGGCTAAGGGCCTAGGAAGAGCCCGGGAGGAGGCTGGCCACAGCCCTGGGACCTTAGTGCCCACTGCAAGGACCCTTGGCTGCTGCCGTGTGTGGAGCAGGAGCCCGGACATGGGGGGCAGCGTGGCTTTTTGGCAAACAGTCAAAACCCATATGACAAGGGGGATTAGTGTGTAGATTGGACCTGCATCCCTGTCTTCATGTGGAGACGCAGCTGCTAGGACAAGGTCAGTCTAGAACGTGGCCCTGCGCCCTGCCTGCGGTCAGAGCTGAGCAAAGGGGGCTGCAGGGGTCAGAGCACCAGAGTAAACACTTTCTTCTCAGAGCCTTGTTAGGAGAAGACGGGAGGTGGGGGAGCCCCGAGGTCCTGGAGTGGGTGGGGGCGTTGAAGGTGGACCATGGGTTCAAGGCCATATGCATGAGTTTGGGCAGGATGCCGAGCCCCTCTGAGCCCCCCTTACCTTGTATGGAAAATGCGGGTTCTCTGAGCAGCTGCCTCCTAGCTGAGGCGGTGAGGACACATGGGTCTACCCAGCTCCTGGGTGTTAACTCACTGAATCCTCACAACACCGGGTGTTCTCATGAGCCCATTTCACAGATGAGTACATTGAGGGGGAGCAGAGGTTGAGACGCCGCCCAAGGCCATGCACCTGGGGAGAGGCAGAGCCAGGATGCGAGCCGCAGGTCAAACCCTCAGCATGCGCGCTCGCCCTCGGCAAGTCACTGCGGAACGTCCGTTCGGTGCTCAGTAAGTGTCAGTTCTTATTCTGAAGAAGGCCCCACGCCTTCGCTCCCTTCATCCTGGGTTCCGGGGCAGGAAATGCCTTCCGCCCCCCACAGGAAGTTTTTGTGTGGTCACTTCTCCCACTGCCCACAGTGAGCCAGGCTCATTCCCTTGGAGGAGGGGCTGCTGGGTCAGCTGCAGGCCACAGGCTTGTCGCCGGGGTGGGTGGCAGCCCCTCGGCACTGTCACGGAGGACCAGAGGCCGCCATGCCCTTGGGGCCCTGGGGACTCAGTTTCTTCTCTGGGTTTTCCACATTGCAGCAACCCAACGGCATTCTGCATCCTGTCTCCCAGTCCGAGACACCAGAGCAGGAAATTGCATAACAGGCTCGGCCGGCCGCCCTCCACCCAGATGGCTTATGGGTGGTGCAGTTCACTGTCGTGGTTTGGCTTTCGGTTACAGAGTCGGCTCCTGAGCTCTGCCTGTGAGAGACCATGGTGTGTGTGTGTGTGTGAACAGAGAGCAGGGTGCAGGCCCAGCCCACGGCAGGAGAAGGCTGAACTGGATCCTCTGAGGATAAAGCTGAAGTTGCTCAGGTGCTGGAATCTGCACGCTGACACGCACAGAGTGAGGATGCTCAGACGGCAGCCTGCAGTTGGGGCTCACATTTGGGAGGGGAACATGCAGGGAGGCTGGTTATGAGTAAAGTGGATTCCAAGGGGCCTTTAGTCACATGATGGAAGCCCTCCAGCCTCTCGAGCTGATAGCAGGTTAAATTTAGAAGTCCCTGGCTGAGATGAGACACAGATGCCAGACTCGAGCCAGCTGTCAGGGGGTCCCCTCCAGGAGCTGAGACCTGGGAGAGGGGTCTCCGGGCTGGGCCAGGCCCACCTGCTCCAAGACATCTGGGGAAGCAGGCAGGTGCACTGTGACCCCACACACAGCCTGCCTTCCACCTCTGAAGTCGCGTCTTAGTAGAGCCCAGCCTTGCTTTGGGCTTTGACCCACTGTGGGCGAGGCCTCTAGGCCAGAGAGGAGACCCCAGTGGGGTCCAGGAGGGAGACAATTTGTTGGGAAGTGCAGAAAGGCAATGTCTGGGGGTGCTCTCAGGCCTCTCGACATTTCTGACAGCCCAGGGGCCCTCTCTCAACCTGGCTTGATTTGTCTCTTGGTCGTCATCTGTCCTGCCTGGGAGGCCCCACAGAAACTGTCTCCCTCCTGGCTGGGTCTGGGCAGGATGAAGGCAAATGCTGCAGGTGGCAATGGGCCACCACGCACACACACCATCCACAAAGGACCATCCACATCATTAGCACGCAGCTAAATCCTGCAGAAGCACAGCCGAAGAGTGAGCGCTGGCCCTTGCTGTCACCATCCATCACGTCGAGTGGTGTCCTTCCGTTTTCCTAGATGAGGAAACTGACCCTCAGAAAGGGCCGAGGGACTTGCTAAAGGTCACTCAGCTGGGAAGTCGCAGAGCTGGGCTGGTTTCAAACAGCCATCTTTCCAGCAGGCTCTGTCACTGCTTTTTTGGCTACACCACCCCGGCCTTCCACACCCCGATTCCACCAGACTGCCCTTCTCCATTCTTTTGCTAACTGCGGCACAGAAGGCCCCTCACACGACGCTGAATCCAAGTCGGCAGCAGCCCCCTGGCCCTGGACGGCGGAAATTATCAAATGCAAGGAAACTCGTCTGAGCGATGAGCTGCATCTCTGTGCCCGTGTCCGAGAGGCACACCCACGCAGCGGACATCGGTCCCGGCAGACGGCAGCCCAGCTCCAGTCCAGGCAGGGCCTTCCCGCTGGTCCCTCAGCCCAGAACTCGGGGACGAGATTAGTTCCTCCATCGGCCTGAGCCCAACTTCGGTCCAAGCGCGGCTGCCCCGGCTCATATTTTCTGGTCCCTTTTTAAATCGGACAGATGCAGGGTGGCGCGGCTGGGCGTTTACAGCAAGCGAGGTGCAGCTGGGAGCCCTGTGCTATTCTTGGCCGCCACCCGTCTTGCTGAGTGAGGTCGGGCTGGCCACCTGACCCCGCATGCCTGAGTTGTCCTAATCTGGGGCCGAGACACGCATGCCTCGCCTGCCCTCCCCCGTCCGGACCCGGCAAAGCGTAGCTGTCGCGCTCAGTGTCGAATGTGCCCATGGGCCACCTGAGGATGATCGTCCTGGACCAGGGTGTATATTAGAGACCAGAGACTCTTCTCTCCACCAGTGTGGCAAAAGTTATCCGCAACATCCGGGCACCAGGACTTGGTTATTCAGGATTCTTAGCATTCTCAACAAACACACACGGAGTGCCAGCCAGCCAGCCAGCCAAGTGTATTTAAAAATGTTTTACACAGTTTTACTGAGATATAGTTCAAGTACCATACAATTCACCCTCTGAGAGTGTGCAATTGATGGGTTTAGTATATTCACAGTTGTACGGCCGTCACCCAGTCAACTGTGGGATATTTTCATCATCTCAAAAAGAAGCCCTGTGCCCGTTAGCCATCACCTCCCGACACCACCCTAAGCCATCACTAGTCTACTTTCTGTCTCTATAGAAGTCCCCGTTCTGGCCACGGCGTGTGAATGGACCGTACGTGGTCTTTCATGCCTGGTGGCTTTCACTCAGCACGACGTCCCCAGGTTCATCCGGGCTGTCACGTGCATCAGCACTTTCTTCCTGACAAAAGCCTTTGATCACCCCCTGTGCACAGGCCCTTTGCCAGGTGTTGGAGATGCAGCAGCTCGGAGCACACAGGCTGGAGAAGCAGACAAATGAGCCGCTGCAAAGAGCTCAAGTGGTGAGGACGGCGTGTGAGTGCCGCAAGGGGGAGGGAATAGGGGCCTGGCCCGGCCTGAGGCCCGGAAGGCTTCCCTGAGGAGGTGGCGGCGTAGTGGAGACTTGGAGGATGGACCGGAGCGTCTCAGCCACATGAGAGAGGGGAGCGGAGGGCCTTCGAGGGAGAGGGTCTGGGAACTGAGGGACAGAGTGGTGACAGCACCTGGCACAGACACGAGGCTGCTGAAGGATTTCACGGGTTATCTTAGGAGCTGCGAGGGAACGGGGTGCTGGGTCCCATTGCAGGCTCCAGGGGTGCCACGAAGAGGAGTGAGACCCCCTCGGTGCCTGTGCGCAGGGCTCACCGCCCCTCCGGGAGAGCGGCACTGAGGCTCTGTCCAAGCCAGCTGGGTGGCGACAGCTCTCTAGAAGGCGCCATCGCTTGTGAATGGCCAGGAGGAGAGAGTGTGGAGCAGGACAGGGGGTCCCCGCACTGCAGCCTGGGCGTCAGGAGGGAGTCCTCTGGGCTTCCCCGATCACCTTTCCCGTGACTTCCCACATAACTGGCTGTGGAGGCCGGCCGGGGCCCCCGAGCCCACCTGGGTGGCGTGCCTGCTCAGCCCTCCCTGGCAGTGTGCCCTCTGCTCCCAGGTCCTGCTTTCCTCAGACGTGGAGCAGGGAGAGAAAGGGCTCCTGGCCTCATAGGGTTGTGGGGGCCATTCAAAGGTCAACGGATACAGAGCACTCGGAAGAGTACCAGGGATTTGAGCAATTAACACCAGGGAGCCCCTGAGCCTCAGTTTCCTCACCTGCAGGATGGCGCTGCAGCGCTCTCCTCACAGGAAGGAGTCATCAGTGGGACCAGCAAGCGCAGCCCTTGGCACCAGGCCTCGCCTGTAGCCAGGTGCCCAGTGTCAGCTGTTCCTGACCCTGTAACTGGACAGTGCAGTGGTTTTCTTTTCTGCCCCAATTTCAGCTGAGAAGCGGAAGGTAAACAACAGCACAAGTGGCATGCCCCTCCCCCTCAGTGCCGTCGCAGGCCACCCGCACTGGACATGCGGAGGGCCGAGGAGCACTTCGGGCAGCATCTGTCCCGTCCTCGCTCAGGGGTGCAGGGAGGCGAGGCGGACGAGGCCGAGAAGGCAAGGCCGCGCCAGGGAGGGCTGTTGGTGAACCACATGGCCCTCAGGCGTGGCTACTGCACTCCAGCCCCCGGCCTACCTGCGGCCTCCCCAAGTCGGGGAGCCAGGCTCCCCCTGCAGTCCCTGTCTCTGTGGGAGCTTTGCCCTAGGCCCACGGGGGCTTTCACCAACCACCACTGCTGATGGAAACTACCCTGAAGAGCTCAGATGCGCCCGGCCCTGGAGTCAGAACGCTGGC